GGGAAAAAATTTACTTCCGGTAAAAGCTAATTTTGTCAACAAAAACACGCGAAAAAATAATTTTTTTAATGARTCATTATATTTATCTCTTGGAAAAAAGACCTTGTGCTTTATTGCTTTACGGTACATGTGATGTGATTTGGTCTCAATRCGATTTTATGCCCCGAACGAAGAGAAGTTGGATAAAAAGAGCGAAGGCCGGCGCCGAAGAAAGATGGAAAGATAATGTAYACAAATGTGACTTTGCTTGCCAATTTGATTACAAACCAACTCTTGTTTCTACTGGCACACAAACTGGGACTTCAGACTCAAGATTAGAGGAAGAAAATGATCGGAAAACACCTGTACTTTCATCTTCGCCGCACTCCTGTCATTCGCCGATAGCTGCAATAAAAACACCAACGCCGACTTCACCAGAATTAATTCCTGAAATATTTACMTCGGAAACACCAGAAACGCCGTTTTTTAGTACACCCACAACACCTGTGTTTACTCCACCTTTATCTGCAGCCGAGAACCTGATTGAAACTTCAATATTTTCACCCCAAACACCGGAAGTTGCCCAACAATTGTTTACACAATACGAGTCCCCGATCTGTTRCATAAAAGATTTTCACAGCCAGTTAAATTTAAWTGATTTATTTAACCATCTTRATATAGAAATACTCTCCAATAGTTCACAAGAAAACGTTCCAGATGTTCTAGATAACACTAACGAGTTGAAAGATCAACTAAAATCTGTATTTACTCAAGCAGATCATAATGTTGAAAACCTAACAAACTCCCCACTTGGAGTTCAATGTGATGTACAGTGTTATTTAACTCATGCTAAAACATTCCAGCAAATTGCAAATGAAAAAGCTTGTSCTGAATGTGGAAATTGTTCTGACTATGTGATTGACATTGAGGGAAAAACCAATCTATTATTAGTATGTAAAAAATGTCAAAACAAGAAATATATGCCAYTCTATGGTACTGTAAATGATACAAGAGAATCAAAACATCCTTACATACCAACTTTCACAGCTATATCATTTCTAGTAACTGGGCAATATTTCAAAGACTATTCAAACATTCTGGGTACCTTCGGTTTGCCTACTCTAAGTGAGAAACAGTGGTTGGGAGTAATAGACTGGATCCACCCTCAAGTCAAATCAATCACTGAATGGAGTATTGACGAGGCAAGGAATGTAATAATTAATTGTGGGGATAAAACAAATCTGAGTATACAATTTGATGGATTYTATTTGACTAGAGGTCATTATTCAAACAATTCATCTGCGACCATTCATGATTTAAAAACAGGAAAAGTCATAGCCTACTCACATAGAACTAAAAAGGGGAAACTGGCAAATTGGGTGGGGACGAGTGCTGGGGCAGAGGGAGATATGTTTTCTGAGATGCTAGATGACCTTCAGCGAAGTGGTTTCATCATTACAAAATGTGTCATGGATCAAGATGCTTCATGTCAAGATGTGTTATTAGAAAGATTTCCAGAGGCAGAAATTATCATCTGTGGGAATCATAAAACCAAATCCTTCCATAGTGATCTAGAAAAAGTAAAGAAGACACCATGTCAGGTAAATATGTAATAAACGTTAATCAACAAAAAATTCAATTTATTATATGCAATAGTATCAAAGATATTATCCCACATATTATTTGAACTCAATCATTTTTAAATGATTAAAAGGATTGGACAATAAAAAAACAAACTGGGAAAACATTCAATATAATTAATAATAAATCTGCCTTTATGAGTTATATCAATTTTGTAAATCTATTTAACTATTAATACTTTTGTTAGTGCCTAGTATCTAACCTGGTTAGGTGATTTGAAAATAATAATTATTAATATAATAAGCCTAGATCTAGAAATAAAGTTAATTATACAAAACGTGACATTTTCAAGTTAACAAAAATAAGTAGTATTAGTAGTTCAGCAGAACAAACAGTGGTAATTTGGGATATAGAATGACCAGTATTCACTTGACAGATTCATAAAAACAACTCATTTCTCTTACTAAAATCAATTAAACGATCACAATTCAATAGTGCAAAAAAGAAAATGGAACAAAGTGCAAGAGAATGACAGATGGCATGATACGAAATGCAAAGAAATGTTTAAGCAACCTATGTAAATCAAGTGACATTCTTCAATCAGACGACCCAGTTGGTAACTTCGCARAAGCTATTCTAAACTACAGTGAGCATTACAAAGATATTCATACTTCTATCTGGTGTAGATTTCACCCGAAGGTATATCAACTGGAATTATTACATCATAAGTTAAAGAAACATTTTATTCATGAACTGATTTAGGACAGGGGCCTTTGAAAACTGATTTCTCATATATTTGTTATGTCATACACAACTTTCAAAGAATATTATTTTCAAAGAATTATCTCTCTCAAAAGAATTAATATTAAGTGCTTTCTCATATAAACATTTCTTGATCTGCCAAATTTATATGGCCACATATAGGTAGTAATCTGTGCACATACGTTATAGCAATTAAATCACATTTATACTACAGGAATTACTTGATGGAAAGCCATATAGTACAAAACATGCATTTACATGTAGTTCACAAATGGCATCACTGAAGGAATTATTGACGAGGATGTCACAAAAAGCTGATGAATACATAACACCAGACGGCTACATGACCAATAACGTTGTAGAAGGTTATCATGGCATTGTGTTAAGCTACAGGGATAAGAGAATTGACCTTGGTTCAACACATTATGAGTGTAAAACTAACATGTCTATTCCTCACAAGGTAATTAAGTCCATAATAGATTATRAATAGTTTAAAACATTTTACCTTGAATGTTAATTTCACCTTGATACAGAACATTGGCCCAGCTTGGAGACTTGTCCTGTTTAACTTACTTGGTATTCCTCTGCCACCATCTTGTATCACCTTTTGGTTGAAACAGCAGGACAACTATGTCAAACGAAATGCAAAACGGAATACAGTTGAACATCAAAAAAAAAGGTGCAAGGAAATTAATATTACTTCTTTTCTAACTCTAGAGCACTACAGATTTTCTATTGTTCCTATGATTCACACCAGACTGAGGTTCATATAGTACTTGCTTTGGATTAATCATTAAATAAAATCTTATTTGTATCACTAAATGGTAAATAGTGAAATCAATGATTATGTCTTTATATGTAATTTTTAAAATAGAAATGTACAAAAGAAGAAAACCAATAAAGAACATGAACAAGAAAAGACATACATGGAATCTCTAAGGGCTGTTAGTGTTATCTGTAGTTACAAGCCCACAACTAGCATTGAAAGTGACGATGAAACCACTGATGACACTAGAAGTGATGATGAAATAACTGACATGGACCAAGATGATATGTCACACGAGAGGGATCAAGATCAAAGTCAACCATTGTACTTTATCTATGACTGTGAATCTACTGGTGGATCTGTATATGATGACCACATTGTAGAAATTGCTGCAGTTGTCCAACCGTTACCAACACCCATTGAAGATCCGACAGAGTTTCAATCTCTTGTCAGAACATCTAAGAAAATAAAACCCATTAGTAAGTGTAATGGACCAATATTAAACAAACACCATAGTATTTTATCATTTAGTTATTGCACAGTACTTATGGGTAGTTATGCAACTATAAACTTCTTATTTCATGCTTTTTGCAGTTACAAGAAAATGTGGAATTTTAAACAAAGATCTTTTAGGACAGCCAATGTTATCTGAAGTTTTGCCTAAATTTCTTCAGTGGGTTCACATCGTAAATGAACAAGTCTCAAATGCAACAAAGATTAAACATTATCCAGGTAATATTATATTTAAGAAATATAAAACGGCGCGCGTGTCTCTGTCCTCTGATATAAACACGGTCGTCAGCCAATCAGAGCACGCATTATATATCAAAAATTTTATAAACCTATATAATAATTGCATGAATATTGTCATCACTTATGGTTAATAGCTTTGAGAAAAGGTGAAATAATAATTTAT